TTTTCTCGCTGTGGCCCAAAGATGATCTCTCCTGTGCAGGAGATCAGCTAGCTCTGGAGTAAACCAGGGGCTGTCTCGTCCCTTTATTCTGAACTGATGAAAAGGAGCGTGTTTGTTCACAAAATAAATGAAACTATTATGAAAATAGTTCCAAGCAGAGTTCACGTCATCAGTTAACAGAATACGATGCCAGTCAAAGTGAGACAGATCCCAGAGGAATGACTGTTCACAAAAATGTTTCAAATCCCTATTTTGAATTAATCTGGGCTTAGAAGGTGGAAGTTTAATATCTCTCAAAGCAGCTGTCACACAGTGATCACTCAAAAGATCAGCGAATACACCTGTACCAGGGAATTTGTGAGGCATATTAGTTAGAAATAGGTCTAAGATGGAGGAATTTTCAGGACGATTTTTGTTTAATCTAGTGGGAGAGTTGATCAATTGATCAATCAAGCAATATGTTTAGCATCATTTTAAATTTGAATTACATAATGTCCAGATAGCTTCATTTAGCTCAGAGCTTCATTATATCACTCACACTAACATAAATACTGTTTATTATTATTAAAACCTCCACTCTGGAAGGTGAGTTTAGAAACCTCCGGATTCAAATGGGGGGGTCACTGGTGTCGTGTAAATGAACAGCAGAACCACAGAGAGAAAGCTGCGGATGCACTCAAAATACGCGCCATGTAAACGGCCCCTTAGTGTCACTCAGCCCCCTGTGAATAGTAAACAGCCATCAGGGTGCTGATGATCCATTGTTAGGCTGATGGTCCTTCTTGACCATGTTAACAACTAGTTTTGAATGCCAACAACAAACTGGTTGATCCACTATGAAAAGATGCTATTTCTAAGACTGAGCTGAATACAGCTCGTCAGACTGAAGAAACCTTTCGGATGAAAGATGAAACGTTTTTACGATTTTATTTATTTATTGTTGTTGTTTTTTGAACAACCAGAGGACCTGACAACTTTTTTAGAATATACAGTACACACATATCTCCGTTGTGTGTACTGTACATTGTTCTGTTGTTCGGTTTTATGCTGTTAATACAGTTCAATTCAATTTATATAGCACCAAATCACAACAAAGTTGTCTCAGGGCACTTTACAGGAGACATTCACATAAAAGCCAATTAGTAAAGTTCTCTATCTAAGGAATCCAGCAGACAAGTTGAATCTTGGCTTCGATGCAGTCTCCCATTCTGAGCAAGCACAGTGGCAACAGTGGAAAGGAAAAACTCCCTTTTTAAAAGGAAGAAACCTCCAGCAGAACCAGGCTCAGGACAAGCAGCCATCTGCTTTGACCAGCTGGTTGAGAGGACAGGAAGGAGAGACAGACGAACACAGAATGGTAGGTCCAGATATAGGTCCAAGTGTACCCGTAAGACAAAAAAACACATGTTACGGATAGAAAAAATAATTACAAATACAAAACAGGTTGAGCAGAGTAAGTAAAGACAGTAGCAGAGTGAAAAGTGTGGTCAGTTTGTCCTCCAGCAGTCTAAGCCTATAGCAGCATAACTAAGGGACAGCTCAGGAAACCCAAGCCGACCCTAACTATAGGATTTATCAAAAAGGAAAGTCTTAAGCCTAGTTTTAAAACTGGACAATGTGTCAGCCTCACGGACAGAAACTGGAAGTTGGTTCCACAAGAGAGGAGCCTGAGAACTGAAAGATCTGCCTCCCATTCTGTTTTTGTAAATTCTAGGAACCACAAGTAAACCTGCAGTCTGAGAGCAAAGTGCTCTGTTAGGAGAATATGGAACAATAAGATCTGTAATATAAGATGGAGCTAGGTTGTTGAGAGCTTTGTAGGTTAGAAGTAAGATTTTGAATTCTATTCTGGACTTGACAGGGAGCCAATGGAGAGAAACTAAAACTGGAGAGATATGATCTCTCCCAGTAACTCCAGTTAAGACTCTGGCAGCAGCATTTTGGATCAACTGAAGACGTTTTAAAGAAGTATTTGGACACCCAGATAATACACCATTGCAATAGTCCAGTCTAGATGTGACAAATGCATGGACCAGTTTTTCTACATCATTTTTAAATAAGATGTTTCTAATTTTAGTGATATTACGCAGGTGGAAGAAGGAGGTTCTAGTAACGTTTTTAATGTGGGGGATAAAAGACATGTCCTGATCAAAAATAACACCAAGATTTTTAACATTAGAGCTGGAGGACAAATTTATGCCATCTAAACTTCCCTTCCTGTCCAAAATCCTGGAGAAAATAGTTTTCATTCAATTAAACAAGTTTTTGAATGAGAACAGAATCTTCGAAATTTTTCAATCTGGTTTTAAGCAACTCCACAGCACTGAAACAGCATTAGTAAGGGTTTGTAATGACATTATGATCTCAAACGATTCTGGTCAATTTGTGGTACTTGTGCTCCTGGACCTTACTGCTGCTTTTGATACTGTTGACCACAGTATCCTTATATCACGGCTGGAACAGTGGGTTGGGATCACAGGTGCTGCATTAGAATGGTTCCGCTCATACCTGAGTGACAGGAGTTTCTGTGTCAAGGTTGGTAATAATGTATCCGCCTCATTACCTCTTTCTTGCGGGGTCCCACAGGGTTCGATTCTTGGACCCCTTCTGTTCTCACTTTATTTGCTCCCACTGGGGTCCATCCTGAGGAAACATGGTCTTTCATTCCATTGCTATGCTGATGACTGTCAGATCTACCTGCCTGTGAAACCAGCAAGTGTTTGATCCATTCACCCTCTGTTAAAATGTCTGGACGACATTAAGGCCTGGATGGCTTCAAATTTCTTAAGTTTTAACAATGACAAGACTGAAGTCATTGTCTTTAGCCCTAGCTCAACTGCCACCACTGATCCTGTCAACCTGGACTCGCTTCAGCCATATCTGAAGCAGTTTGGTAAAAATCTCGGGATGGTTTTAGACTCTGATTTCAAGTTTGATAAACAAATCAACTCTGTTCTGTAGAAAAGCGTCTTCCAAATCAGACAGGTAGCTAAACTCAAGCCAGTGTTGTCCAGACCCGACCTTGAGAAACTAGTCCACGCCTTTGTCACGACCTGATTGGACTATTACAACGCACTGTATGCTGGGATCAGCCAGACCTCCATCTCAGGTCTTCAGCTCGTACAGAATGCTGCTACTCGGCTTTTAACCGGAACTCGTAGGTCTGAACATATTACTCCAGTTCTGTCCTCCCTTCACTGGCTCCCTGTTCGTACGAGGATAGTTTTTAAAATTCTTCTGTTGACCTTCAAATGCCTAAATGGCCTCACACCCCTTTACATCTCTGAGCTTCTGGAACCTTACGTTCCCTCTTGGGCCCTGAGATCATCCGATCAGCTGCTTTTGGCTGTTCCAAAAACAAGACTGAAGCTCAGAGGAGATCGGGCTTTTTCAGTCATGGGCCCCAAACTCTGGAACAACCTGCCCCCCAACATCAGGCAGGCCACCTCCATTCCTCACTTCAAATCCCTGCTTAAAACACATCTCTCCTCACAGGCATTTCATACAGTGTAAATTGATCTAGTGTTTTTTAATCTGTGACCCTATGTTTTAAATTGCTTTTTATTAATTCTTCAGTTATTATCATTATTAGTGTATTGTGTATATATATGTTTATATTTTTTTCTCTGGGCAGCACGGTGGCGCAACTGGTAGAGCTGCTGCCTCTCAGCGAGCAGGTCCTTGGTTCAAACCCCGGTCCAGGGGCCTTCTGGGTGGAGTTTGCATGTTCTCTCCGTGCATGCGTGGGTTTTCTCCGGGTACTCCGGTTTCCTCCCACAGACCAAAAACATGCATGTTAGGCTGATTGGTAACTCTAAATTGTCCCTAGGTGTGAGTGGGAGAGTGAATGGTTGTTTGTCTCGTTAGTCTCTATGTGGCCCTGTGATGGACTTGCGACCTGTCCAGGGTGTACCCCGCCCCTCGCACAGTGATTGCTAGACATGGGCACCAGCGACCCCCGTGACCCAAAATGGAATAAGCGGGTAAAGATAATGGATGGATGGATGGATTTTTTTCTCTTTAATTTCCTCATTGATTGTTGTTGTTGTTGTTGTTAAGCACTTTGATAACAGGTTCTGTTTTAAATGTGCTCTATAAATAAAGTTGACTTGACTTGACTTAAGGAGGGAGAAAGACTGAAAAATTCATTCCTAAGGTGCTCAGGTCCAAAAACCAAAATCTACAACAATAATAAAAAAAACCTTCCTGTTTGTCTTAATGTAATTCCGTTTTTTCTAATGTGATTTGGGCCACTTCCGCTTCGGCCACTTCCGGTTTGGCTTAATGTAATTCCATGTTTTCTAATGTGATTCTGTTTTTTCAAATGTAGTTCTGTTTTTTTCTAATGTGATTCGGGCCACTTCCGCTTTAGCCACTTCCGCTTTGGCTTAATGTAATTCTATTTTTTCCAAACATTGTTGTGATTTTGTTGTTTTTGTTGTGTTTTTTCTAATGTAATTCTGTTTTTTCAAATGTTCATTTACACCTTAGGGCTACCGTAGCTGGCATAAACTCTTACAGACTCTGTGAACTTACAAAATTTCTGGTCAAGTTTTACTCTTTCATACGGTGTTGATGCTCTTGGTTTGATTTAGAAATCAAGGTACAAATGAATTAGGAGTCCTCATTCAGTGGCTTTCAATCTCTGGGGTTGGGACACTGCCAGAGGTTTTCACAAAACACACGTTTGTTATGATTATGACATTTTTCAATATGCCATGACCAAAGACAGTCTGAAGTCTCTCGTTTTTGTGGATCTAAAAATGAAAGGTTTGGGAACTACTGCTCTAATGCATAAGCATTCCTTTGCATTATGACTCACATACTTTTGAAGAAATCATGGATAGAAGGAATTACACAATAAAATATCCTCTTGTAGCAGTGACCCTTGAGTAAAACTATTATCTTGAGCTGTTTGATTACTTGTAAATAATAGTTGCATGTTTTGCAGTCTTTTAATGAGGTTGTGTTCTGTTTTTTTCTGTCTGCTGATGATTCAGGTTCATTTTGGCCGCTGGCTGATTGAGGGCAGCCCCTACGTGATCCTTTTTGACATTGGCTCAGCTGCCTGGAACCTGGATCGCTGGAAGGGTGACCTGTGGGAGACCTGTCACATTGGCTTACCGTACCACGATCGAGAGGCCAACGACTCACTTATCCTGGGATCCCTGATTGCATGGTTTTTCAAAGAGGTCAGATTGGGTCCATTTAAGTAAAGTCCTTATTGTACACATTCGGTTATTTCAAATGTTTAGTCTCCTGTTACTACCTGTAACCAAAAAAGTTTGGAACTACAGTAGACCCCAAAAATTCACATGGGTTGCATTCATAGAGGAAATTGTGGAAAACTGAATTTCAATGTGGTCAAAAAAATTTAATAAATAAATAATAAAAGCATCTATCTATCTTCTGCTTCTTCTTTTAGCATTTCCTTTTTCAGGGGTCTCCAGAGTGAGTCATGCTCCTCAATCTCATTCTGTCATCTGCATCCTCTGTCCTCACTCCAACTACCTCCATGTCCTCTCTAACTGCATCCATATATCTCCTCTTTGTCTTTTTCCTGGCAGCTGCATATTTTTTAGCATCTTTCTACCAGTGTACCCACTGTCCTTCCTCTGGACATGCCCAAACCACTGCCCCTCCTCTGGACATGTCCAAACCACTGTCCCTCCTCTGGACATGTCCAAACCAATGTCCCTCCTCTGGACATGTCCAAATCAACTCAGTCTGGCCTCTCTAACTTTATCTCCCAGTTGTTCAACTGTGCTGTACCTCTGATGATCTCATTCCTAATCATATCCATCCTTGTCACACCCAAAGTAAAACCTCAACATCTGCATCTCTGCCACTTCCAGTCCATGTCTCTGTCTCCTGTCTTTTTGTCCATGTCTCTGTCTCCAGACCATACAACATAGCTGATCTCACACATGTCTTGTAAATATTTTCTTTGACCTTGGCTGACACTCTTTTGTCACAAATCATTCCTGAAACTTTTCTCCATCCACTCCATCCTGCCTAGACGCTTCTCCTCTTCTTTACTATACTTGTTTTCCTGGACAGTCAAAGTATTTGAAGTCCTGCACTTTTGTGACCTCTGCTCCTTGTAGACTCATTGTTGCACCTGTCTCACTCTCATTCACATGTTCATTCATTCAACCTTTATTTAGACAGATAAATCACATTGAGCCTCAAAGACTCATTTACAAGTGAGACCTGTTTAGACAGACAAAAAAAAGTGAAAGTGAACACATGTAGGATTTGGAGGCAAAAAAAAATCCTATCAAACTCCTTCTTTTTGGCTGAGCAGAAAGACCCTGATTAAAAAAAACACCCCACACATACAAGCACATGGTGATGTAGGCTTTCCGTGGGGGTGGGGGGGTGGGGGGGGGGGGGGGACAAGAGTGGTGAGCTTGTCCAAGGATGCTCCCTGAGGCACTGTAGGAGTTCTGATAAGGATGGAATAATCAGCCAGTTCCCTCCAGTGAGATCCATAAACATTCTCTAGGGATGTCAGGGAATGGCCAAGGACAATGCAAATGAGAATCCAAGAGTCCTGAAATGATGACAAAATGTTTATTCAGCTGGTTCCCTCAGGTTGGTTAGTGGATTTCCTCAGTGGGAGAGAGGGGGGCAGAGCGTCAGATTACAGAGCCTCCAGGTGAATTGAGATAAGGTGGCCTGCAAGGCCAGTAGAGGGAGCCAAATTCAGATAAACCATACCATACCACACCAATTTATTTATAGAGCACTTAAAACAGCAACAAGGCCAACCAAAGTGCTGTACAAAAGAAAACAAACATGCACAGCGGACAGGAAAACATAAAATAAAAATACAGATACAAATAGCAGCAGAAGCTAACTAAAATGGCAAACAGTGTAGAGTACAGACAGGACCAAAACAAATCACACCGTGTTAAAGGAAAGAGAATAGACGTGGGTCTTCAAGCAAGACGTAAAGACTGAGAGTGTGGGAGCCTGCCGGACACTCAGTGGCAACTCATTCCACAGTTGTGGACCTGCAACAGAGAAAGCCCTGTCACCTCTGAGCTTACGACGGGTTTCTGGGACTGAGAGAAGCATCTGGTCTGCTGACCTCAGAGAGCGTGGTGGGACATATGGCTGCAGAAGATCAGTGAGATAGGATGAGGCTGAACTGTTCAGTGATTTAAAAACATACATGAGAATTTTGAATTGGATCCGAAGGTGAATGGGTAGCCAGTGCAGGAAGGCCAAAACTGACGTGATGTGCTCTCTATAGCCTGTACCAGTTAAAAATTGGGCTGCAGCATTTTGGACCAGTTGTAGACGAGCAATGGAGGACTGACTGATTCTAAACAGAAGTGAATTGCAGTAATCAAGCCTAGATGTTATGAAGGCGTGGATCACTGTCTCAAGGTTCTTTTTGGAGAGTATAGGCTTCAGCTTAGACAGCCGTCTCAGCTGAAAAAAACAGGATTTGACCATCATGTTTACGTGACTGTTGAGTTTTAAGAACGGGTCCATTATCACCCCCAGATTAGTGACCTTTTGTTTCTCTAGCGGGGGGTAGAGAGAAAAGGTCAATGTCATGGTTCATGAGTGAGCCACTGGGATGGAACAGCATGACTTCAGACTTCTTCTCATTGAAGCTTAAGAAGCTTAAAGCCATCCAGTCCCGGATGTCAGCCAGGCTGTCAAGAAGAGGCTGAATAGAGCGTGTGCCTCTGTGCCTCAGGGGGAAGTAAATTTGGCAATCATCGGCATAGAAATGAAAGGGTATGTTGTGTTTGCAGAAAATAGCCCCTAGTGGCAGCAGGTATAAAGAAAAGAGAAGGGGACCGAGGATGGACCCCTGCGGTACCCCCCACTGGAGCGCTGTTGATGCCAAACTAAAATCTTTGATATTGACACAGAAGGTTCTGTCAGAGAGGTAGGACCCAAACCATTTAAGGGCTGACCCTGTGATGCCCACCCACTGCTCCAGTCTAGAAATGAGGATCTTGTGGTCGATGGTGTCAAAAGCAGATGTAAGGTCCAATAGGACAAGCAACACAGAATCACCTGCGTCTGTGGAAATGAAAATGTCGTTAAAAACCTTGAGTAGAGCAGTTTCAGTGCTATGGAGAGATTTGAAGCCAGATTGGAATAACTCTAGGATAGCGTGATCCCCCCAAAACTGTTTCAACTGAGACTCCACAATTTTTTCCTATAGTTTAGAGGTGAATGGGAGTCTGGAGACAGGCCAGAAGTTGGACATGACTGAGGGGTCAAGGTTAGGTTTTTTCAGGAGGGGCTGGACAGCAGCATGTTTAAAAGTTTTTGGCACCACACCTGAGGATAAACTGCTATTCAGAATAGCGAGAATAAAAGGACCCAGGGTAGGAAAAACTTCCTTTAGTAGTCGAGGGGGGACCACATCAAAGGGGGAACCAGATGGCTTCATGTTGCACATTACCTGCTCCAGAGAAGACAGAGAGATGGGCTCAAAGTGATCAAACACAGCCACACACTGAGATGGGATGGACAGATCATGAGCTGGTGGAGAAATGAGTGCCCGGGTGTTTGCCACTTTTTCTAAAAAGAAATGGAGGAAGTTTTCACACAGCTCAGTTGAGGCTTGCAGAGGTGAAGGCTCACTGAGGTGTAGAACTGAGTTCAGGGTGGAGAAAAGAACTCGGGGGTTGTGGGAGTTGGAGACAATTAAATCAGAGAAGAATTTACATTTGGCAGCTTTAACGGTTTTCTGATAGTGACGCCAACTCTCCCTTAACATTTGAAAAGAAACCTGCAGCCTATCCTTCCTCCACCTTCGTTCAGCTCTGTGACACTGCCGCCTAACGGCTCGCGTGACGTCATTCAGCCAAGGCTCTGATTTAAGTTTCGTTTTTCTGGTCTTAAGGGGAGCAACACGGTCCAGAACATTTAAACAGGCAGAGATGAACTGAGAGGTTAGCTCCTCAGTGGTAAGAGACACCGAGAGCTGTTCGATCCTCTCAGAGTTAAAACCTTCATTAAAACGAGCAGCAGTGAAATGGTTAATGGAACGCGTACGTGCAGGAACGCACGTCTTAGCAGTATGACAAGGGGGGGTGAAGTCAAACAATACAGGCATGTGATCTGAAAAAACATTGTCACCGATTTTCAAATTAGAAACAGAGACATCGCGTGTTAAAACGAGGTCCAGCATGTGACCGTGTTCTTGGGTGGGACCGTTTACCTGCTGAGTTAAATTAAAAGAGTCCAATAAATCCAGAAAGTCCTTCACTAAGGGCTTCTCCTGACAACACACATGCAAATTAAAGTCACCAATAAACAAAAAGTGAGTGTATCTCTGTGTGATATCAGCCAAAAAGTCAGAGAATTAATTTATGAAGTCCTTGGATCGAGGGGGGCGGTAGACGAGTACGCACAGAACTGGAGGAGAGTGTCCGAGTTCAAAGACGCTTAGCTCAAAGCTGGCGCGGGACACCGGGATGGACAACTGTTTACAGGCAAAGTTTGCTTTACAAACTGTTAATAATTCCCCCCACGCCGACCTGATGGCCACGGGACATTGAAACACAGACAGTCCGGGGGTAGTAATTCCACTAAGGCACTGGACTCACCATCAGAAATCCAAGATTCCGTGACGAACAGAAAATCCAACTCCTCATCTTTAAAAAAGTCATTGAGGATAAACGTCTTGTTGGAAACAGACCTTGCGTTGATTAAACACATCCTGATAGGGTCCAACGCAGACACAGCCGTGGAAGGAGAAGCGTGCGCCAGCGGGTGCAGGTTATGAAGAACAGCTCCTCCAGGTCTGCTGGTGCGGCGCACAGGTAAACAACTCCAGGTGTTTACATGGACTGAGCGCGCGGACAGCTGGCCAGCAGCCGGGCCCCGGGAGCACCACGGGTCAGAGAGGAGATGATCAGATCCAGAGCGAGTCCTGATAGAATAATCCACACTTTGCCTCAGTTTCACCAAAATCCCTGCACGCTTCCCACAACGTCTGCGACATTTCCTCCATGGCCAGGGTCACGCAGAAGGAATGCAGGAATCTCAGACAGGACCGGTGGAGGAGAGTGCTGACCACTGTACAAAAACTCCGCAGGCATTTCAGCAAATGTACGGAGCTCCAAAAGTGCCCGACGATCATACTGAAAATATGATTCGGCACACTGCACCAACCATTGTAAAAATAACAAAAATACAATACAAGCAGAGAGCGAGAGACGGGCAGCCCAACACTCCGGCGCCATCTTCAAACCAATGAGACCAACTCAAACCTTTTCAACATTTTCTCACCTTCAAAATGTGTTGTAGTCTAGTTTATTATTTATTTATCATATGCAGGTCAACACAAGGTCAGTAATGTAATAAAATGCTCAGGACGATAAGAACCGTCCCCCCCC